TAAATTGTTTGATCACACAGATATTACAACAATCTTTCAATTTTATCCAATTCCTTTTTTATGCTGCTTCTTCGTATTCCTCTGTTTCCTCTGTGTTTTTCTTAGGTATACAAATTTGGTGGTGCAGTTTTGTGAGAACCCGAATATACAAATCAAGTAAATAATTAAATAATAATGATTTTACAATCTCAAATATTTTGATGGTGAATCCTAAAGTGCAAATTAATTATTATTGAATGATCTTTTAATTAATTTTAAAACCTAAAATAAATTTATGGTGAAAGTCTTTAATTTAGAGGCAAGATTTATTATATAAAAAAAATATATGGGACAAATTAGTTAGTATATTTTGATCTAATAATAGTTATATTTTATTTAAATTAATGGAGAGAGAAAATAAATTAAAACAAAAGATAATGGGTATGTTTGGTTTGTGTTTGAGAGATGTGTTTTAGAGATAAAAAGTACAAAAAGTTGTTTGGTTTGGTTTTTTTCAAAAGATGTTTTGGAAAATTATTTTGAGAGAGAGTTTTGGAAAAAGTGATTGATTTGATGTGTGTGTGAGAGAGATTTGTTTGGAAAACTTGTTTGGTTTACAAGTTTTGAGAAATTTTTTTGGGAAAATTTGTTTGGTTTGATTACTTTTAAAAACTTATTTGTACAGAAAATTTCCCAAAATTTTTCCAGAAATACATAATGTAACCTTGGGTTGCCTAATACAATTTATAGCAGCAGCGGGAGCCTCCATGGGAGAGAGAGAGAGAGAGAGAGAGGTTGAGAAAAAAGAAGAAAAAAAAAAGGTTGCAAACAAGGAAAAACTTTTGGGTGTGTGGTAGGTTTCTAGCTTTCTTCTTTATTTTATTTTTGTTCTTTATCCTTATTCTATTTTATGATTTAATTCATTGATGGAGAGATTGCAGGTGTATGTATTTTGTGTATATATATATACTGTTAAGAAATTTGAACAGTTAAATTCACATATAAAGAATGGGTGTAATTCTTGGTCCAAAAATTCTGCACAGATTTACAGTAGATTAATTACATATTGAATTGCATATCTGAATTTTCTCATAATTTTTGGGAGTCAAAATCCATATAATCTGGTGCGTTCAAATCTGTCCAGAAAACTGGTGTAAAACAGTAATTTCGAAAGTGTTGTTCTCTTTGGGTATAAATCCAAAAATTATCAAATCAGCATCATTAGAACTAGTTACGAGTCTAGTTTCTTACATTTCTGGCCTTGCATTGATTGCTCGTATATACTAAGAGAACCAAAGTGCTACAGAAAACAACTTGTTTGGGCATAATTATTGTAAATAATTATTTTGATAAGCAAATCAAGTAAAACCAATTGGGTTTGAAACTTAGGATATATTAGTTGATATCTGGAGGGTTTTGGAATTTTTCGAACAGCGTGGAGTGGGTTTTGTAATTTTCAAAGTTAGCGAATAGATTGTGAAAGTTTGTTTAAAATTTTGTTTTATCTTAAAGTTACTTTTAATTAAGTTTCGATTTGAACCCATGTCTTGGGTGATTTTAAACCTTGAACAACATGAGCTTAGGTAATATTTAAGTGTAACGATAAGTTGGGTTGAGCCATTTTAGTGCGCTTTAGTTTGGGGTTACTTAGTTCTTATTCTTTAGTATTTTTTTTTTTTAAATTAGTAGTGACGTGTAGTTTTCATACTTGATTCAGGGCGCTAGTTGGACTTTCATATTCTATTCGAGGATTATATTATTTCGTTTTCAGGTGAGTAGTAGCAGGCTACATATTTTTATAAATGTTGCCCTACCATGAACTGTTAGAAAATTAAATTGTTATTTCAGGACTAAACTATTTTAATAAATTATTATATTATCAATGGAATTAATTATTTTTGAAACATGTGTAAACTTGGCATACTGTAAACTTTTTGTTTTTGGTCTCATGTTTATAATGGTGAACTACCATGTTTTGCGAAACTGATGTGTATTGATTATTGGGATCATCTGTATATTTTAGTCCAGGGAAATTATTCCACTATGTGTGGTGACTCTAGCTACTAAGGAAAAGATCTGGGTTAGGCCGTGATGACTCTAGTGCTAAACAATTATAAGGAAAAGACCTAGGTTAGGTTAGGTGACCTTCAATCAGATCGTCTTAGAGAAAAGACCCAGGTTGCCACCCCAAGGATGATTCTTGGTTCGATATTGGATCCAACGGGCTTATTGCCTTGAGAACTATGTGGCATGTTACTTGTTATTCTTGGTGTCCGGAAAATTATTGGTATTTATGTTGTAATCTGTTTTAAGTGAAAAATGTCATTTATCATGTTCTTGAGAGACATGAGTATTTTAACTGTTGAACTGTGAAACCTTCTTTTTGAAACAGATTGTCTTTCTCAAACTATAAGCCAGTCTAGTTTCTGTGATATATAACTTATTTTGGAATTGATCCATGTTTTCAAAACTGTATATACTATCTATGTTGCTACTCACTGAGCTATCAGCTGGCTTAGTTGTTTATCACTTCCAGGTGTTAGAAGGACTTAGAGTGGACTCATGCCGTAGCGGGAACTCAATTGCATGGACCTCTAGGACATTCATTTATTTTGTTTTATATTGTTATGTCAAGTTTGTGCATATTTCTTTTTATTTTTATTGAGGTTCATTTAGGATTATTTTGACATGTGGTCTGTTTATATTCCATAAGTTTGGATGGTATTGATTACGGTTGGTTTTGCCGCTTATACTTGTGGCATGTCACTAGATTGAGTTTGATTATTTATTATTGGACTTTTGTTTAGTTGTTCAATGTGATTATGAATTCGTGTTTAGGCTTACGTGTGCCTTGGGCTAAGGCCCTGTGGGCCACGGCCGGTCATACCCGGGTTTGGGGTGTGACAAGTTCCTTACAGACCTGTTGAAGACTTGGCATTTTCAGTTGCTAGGTTTATACAAAATAATGGTTCATTCATGAATTATTTATATGGTAAGTCAATTCCAAATTATATTATTTATAGAAATAATTCAGCCCATGTACAATGAATTTTTTTTTTCTTTTCTGTATCAGTACCATTGAAAAAAACATTTTTCAAACGCCACTTAACATGGTACTTTATTATTTATTCATTTCGTATTATTCATCTATTTTTAGCAAATTACAGCGGCATATTGCAAAGTGGGTTTGCTATGTTCACACATAAAGCTCTATCAGATTATATCCCAATTATCTTTTGAATAATGCTTGGGACCCCCTTTTGGGGGTCACCCCCTCACCCCCCTTTGCCACGTGGCGGGTGGTGATTGGAGGAGCAAGAAAAAAAAGAAAAAGAAAAAGAAAATGTAACCAATGAGAGAGAGAGGGGGTCAAAGGGGGTGGGAGGAAAAGGGGGGATGAATCATTGTTGTTATCTTTTATCCTGATGTCTCAAATTATTTCAACTACATCATGAGTTTCTCTAAACATGATAAGACGAGAGAATTGGTGACTGGGGATTTGATCTATGTTTTGCCATTATAAGTGTTTCAAAACTATCGTTAAAAAAACAAAAACAAAAACAAAAAAAAGACAGTTTATTTTGTCATTAGGATTTGTTAGAATGGACTACTCCATTTCGAGAGAAGTTATTTTGTATTCTTGAGACAATATCCTATACTTTTTAAGAATAATATGATTACATAAGTACATTATGTGTCTAAATAAAAGAATTTACACGATCATGTGAATTTTGAAGAAAAAATTGTATGGCTTAGATTTAATACTTAAAGTAAAGTAAGCAAATCAAATTTAAAATGTGTTTAAATTTAAATTAAACTCATTTTAAACTCATTGTATTGTCCATACCATTTATAACATGGGATTATATGCTATGATCAATTGGGATCTCCCATTGCATTACAGTTTCCTGTGCCATTCATGACAATCAGTCTTTTCTTCCTCATTGTCAACTTGTCTTTGTTATTCAACTCTTTTTACTCCTATTGGAGATGAACGGAAGCAAGTTCTCTGCAAGATTCATTACACCTGTGGACATATCCAATGCTGTGTAAACATTACTACTTTGTGCTACAATTGTGATTCCTTCAAGTAAACATTATTATTTTCCCATCTTCTCCCTCTATTACCTCTGTTATATGAAATTCTCATTGCCCTTTGATTTTCCTGCATATTATGCTCCCAAGGTAGGAGTTGTGCAATACATGAAAACTGAATGGAGGGTGGTTGCAATCTTTAATGTGGTTCTGTTTGTTGTTTTGGTGAGAAACTCCTCTCCATCTAGTTTGGAACAAATCAAATTATCTTCTTCTCATTACCAAATGAGGAACAACAGATAATATGGCATATGAATTGCATTTTATATCTTCTACTGTTGAAATTGACAAATTGTATTATGAAAGTAGCATAATATTTGTAGATTATCATTTTATTGACAGTGTTTATATGATCAGGACCTTCTAATCGAGTTCATTTATTTTTGTTACAATTATCTATTGTGAAATTAGTCAATAATCTACTTTGTGGGATGCTATGCGAACTGAAATGCTGCAATGACTCTCAAGAAATCTTCACTTGGACGTAAATTTGTTCACATTCCTTAAAAATCACACTTTTTATCTATAAGTTGTTTATTGTTGATAATTTTAGACAAATAGATACACATACACCATTGTTTCTCAAGCACTGACTGGGAAATTTATAGCGGGAGCATCTCTTTTCTGAAGTATTACAATTCTGTGAAGGTTTTATCATTCATGTGATTATGTGTTAGAGAATGCACGAAAGAATGTTGTATCCATCACATGCTTCAAAGGGAGTTATTTATTATTATTTCAATACCTCAAAATGGAGCTTTTTTTTTTTTCTCTTCAAAATACAACACATGCTTGTAATTCGAGTTCGTTGTAAAAATCATAAATTTGGGGACTGTTTATTCTTAGAAGGTTGATGATACATGCATCTCATCAAAGTAGAGCTAATCCTAGTTGGGTTCATAGGCAATTTCAACACTAAGTAGATACTAAAAGGTCGTTTTTTCCCTCTGAAAGAAGAACAGGCCAGAAGGCGCATCACCAACTGTCAAAACTAGCTTTACAGGACCTTTTGCACCTTGTTCATCCGTGTAGTGTCCACTATTAAAGCTCATGTCTGTTTTACAAAAGGCAGGAGTAACTGAATTTATGCCAAAATTTGGGAATTTTTTAGCTAAAAACCTTGTGTAGCCATTAATAGCTGCTTTGGAGACAACACAAGTAGAGAGAACAGACCAGCCTTTAATAAATCCTCTTTAGCATCCTGTAAATACCAACTCACTACCTCATCTACTTTCTATTATGTGAGTCCATTAACATCACTTAGTACCTCTCTTGCCCATTCATTTGTAACATTCTGCATAAAAACATTTAGTTATATGTCACGGGCTAAATTTATAGCACAGTTTAACCAGCCTTTGAGGGAATTTCTTTACCTTTAGTTGCCCCAAACTGGATAAGACATTAACAATTCTTGCAGAACCAGAGAGCCGAAGAAGTGGAATGAGAGCTTGAGATAGCTGTTTATGCCTGTAGTAATTTGTTCGTAGACGCCCTTCGGCTGTTTCATAGGTTTGTTTTATAACCTTTTTTGCCATTTCAGCCTTCTCACCTACAATCAATATCATTTTTAGAAGATTAAAATCCTTGATGTATGCAATAAGCATACATTTTTTGTTGAAACCCAGAATCTGGTAAAAGACTTACCTCTCCAAACTTAAGCTTTAAACTAGTGAAAGACTCTGCATCCATTATGACTCCGTTGACCCCTGCATTGTTCACCTACCAAGAATTTCGATCCATACACGTTAGTGAACAATTACCCATTAGATAGCTATAGATAAAATTAGTTTCAATCAATTTAGTTTGTTTCCAATCTTACCAATATGTTGAGCTTTCCAAATTTATTTTTGATGTAATCTGCTAAATAAGCAATACTAGCAGAGTCTGTAACATCAAGTTGATGAAAAAAAATATCAGATAACCCACAAGCTTTGAGATTTTCAACAGCTTCAGTACCCCTCTTCTCATCTCTAGCTGTTAAGATCACCATGACTTCATTGGAAGCTAACTGTCTACATATCTCTAATCCAATTCCTTTGTCGCCCCCTTGTTACTACTGCAATCCTGAAAATCAATTAACAAACACACAACAAAACTAAGGTGTTAGAGCTGAGAGATTGGTTCATGCAAACTTCAAAATTTTCAACATATAGAATAAAATAGGAAGAGAGAGAGAGAGAGGGAAGGAGGGAGGGATGTGCCTTTTTGGTGATGCAGTGGTGACTGTTCCCTCCATTTCTGAATGTAGGAGATGATAGTGGTGATGAGGATGAGCTGTGTGTAGATAATTTTGAAGTTGGAGATATCTATTTATATAAACATAAGACTAAGAATGAGCGTATGACATGTATGCTGTAATAACATCCTCCTTTTGTTCAACTTATTGATGCTAAGTGCTTTCCTCTTGTAGGAGTGCTTCATTTAGAATTTGCTTCAGATCTTGAGTTTACTTTCTTTTCATGTAATGTTTGTTGTTACCTAGCTGACATTTTAAGCAGATATTCATGTTGTCTGTTGTGTCCCCTGAAAAGATGCCACTGGTGTTGCCGAATATCAGAAAAGTTCATAAGGTAATGATTAGTAAATGCCACTATGAAATTTTGAAAATCTGTAATTGATATTACTATTATGATCTCTTAATGTGATTTCAACTTTTCGTTCTCTAGCCAAATGGTTATTTGCTATTCTGTGACTATGCCACTGGTAACCTTGCTTAGGTTAATTTACAACTTATATTCTATCTTTTGAATACATGTTTGTGTGTATATATATTTATGTGCTCTTTCATTTCAGTGGAGAATGTGCTGTTTCATTTCAGTGGAGAATTATATAGTAAATATTCCAGTTGCTTTTGATGCTCTCTTGGAAGGGTGTACGGAGTGGAAGCTAAAGCGCTAGACTATCCTTTGTGAAAACGTCTTATGATTTGGATACTTTTCTTGGTTTGTATGTTGTTCAAGTCATATTTTAGAGATTAATAGTTATATGATTAGTATTTTAGAGATTAGTCGTATTTTAGAGGTTGTTAAAGTCGTATTTTAGAGATTAGTGGAAGCTAGAGTCATATTTTAGAGACTAATTGATTTACAATTTGTAGTTTTACTTTTTGGATGTTTAAAGTCGTAGTTTAAAGATTAGTAAATGTTATGATTTGGATACTTTTCTTGGTTTGTATGTTTGAGGTTGTTAAAGTCATATTTTAGAGATTATTGAATCTTATGATTTGGATACTTTTCTTGATTTGTATGTTTGATGTTGTTATCAGCGTGATATAATAGAAGTTGAGGATGGAAGTTAGTATGCAGGTTGTTTAGTGTATGGATATTAGATTTTTTTTACTTACTTCATAGTTGTTGCTTCTACTTGATTTGTTCATAGGTTGCATTTTATAAGCTACTGTCTACATACTGTTAGGCAAAGTTATATTCCTCTATATATATATATATTATATTTTAAAAATAACCTTTTACGACATATAAAATTATGTCATAAAAAGTGTAACGATTTATGACATGCAAGAAAATGCCGTAAAAGATTATATATGGCATACAAAGTATGTCATAAATATATTAGAAGTGACATGCAAGAAAATGCCGTAAAAGATTATATATGGCATACAAAGTATGTCATAAATATATTAGAAATGACATGCAAGAAAATGCCGTAAAATATTATACACAGCATACAAAGTATGCCATAAATATATTCAAAATAACCTTTTATGGCATGCAAAATTATGCCATGGAAAGTATGATGATTTATGGCATGAAAAAAATGTCATAAAAAATTATATACAACATACAAAGTATGTCATTAATGTTTAATTTATTACTTTTTATAACTCTACCTGCATGTCGTAAATAAAGCTCAACTTTCCACAGGTGAATTGTGTGGATTGAATCGTATGGGAATGAATTGTGTGGAATGAACTGTGGGATTGAATTGGGGGTTGAGTTTATGAGGGTCTTCTTTCTTATTTTCTTGCTGGGCATGGTTTCTCACCATCCCTTTGTGGTTGAGCTTGTAGATGATTAAGCTTTCTTTTCAGTGCCAACCTAGTTGGGATTGGGTTTGTTAGCTATGATGCGCTTTTGCTCTTCCACCCCTTTATTGATGTTCATCTCATATGTAATTGTATGTTTTCGTCATCAATAAAATTCTTTTTTGTTGATAAAAAAAAAAAACTTTCCACTGCATGTCATATAACAGCATTTGTGTGCATGCCGTGAAAGAGTTTTTACGGCATGCATTGCAAGGCGTAAGAATTCAATTTTGTTGAAGTGGACGTGACTCGTTAAATTGCATACCCACCTCAAAATCTTGCCTTTTTGGTCTTCCATTAATTAAGCCCAGTGTCGTAGTTGCTGTTTTTTCTCGTCTTCATGCTGCTCTTGCATCTGCATTTTTTATGTGACCATTGATGTTCTTGTCAAACAGGTTGCTTTCATTCTCAAATGCCCTTAGAAGTTTTAAGAAAATGCATCTCTCATATTATTTGTCAATCTAACTTTTAGCAAAAGCTAATAAGAGGAGAATGGTTTACCATTCTTTGAAGAGCTTCAAAGAGTGCTGGCCTTGAATGTAACTGAATCCAAGTTCTCATCGTAGATGACTGAGAAATGTTGTAAAGCAAGATTTGTAACGCCCTCAGAATAATACAAAATACCCAACATTGTAGACATGCATTGATACAAAAGAAATCAACCATTTCTATTCATCAGAGTAATTCTTACAACTGTATTACATGTTAACAACAAAAGCAAATGCCCTATGGGCTACAACTTTCCAAGTTAACACTTGGTTACAACAAAAAAAGAGTACTAACTCAATACATATTAAGCCCTTGGCTTGAATTTACAAGTAATACATCAAAATAAACAAAAGAGTCTTCAACTCTCATCCTCACCCAAGCTATGTCCTTGGAGGTGGCATACTACCTGTACCTGAAAATAATGTCCCATAAAGGGTGAGCCAACGCCCAGTAGAGATATGCTAAACACAGTATAAGCAATAACTAAGACATTAGCAATTGATCAATGTTCAATTTTCATAAACCAATTCATAACCCATTTCCATTTCATGACCACTATGTTCATATTCCATTTCAGTTTCCATTTCTTATCAATTTCACAGTTTACATCAATGGGTCAGAACCTGGCCAACAGCTTATATGAGACAATGACTCATATTAAACACATCCCATTTTACAATAGATAAACATATTAGTTGTATCAACATCTCAACAGATAAGCATACAAGTTGTATCCACATTTCAACAGGTATGCATATTAACAATATCAACACTTCCAATGACAAGCATATGAGCTGTATCAACACTTCCAAAGATAAGCATATGAGCTGTATCATCACATTATCTGACAAGCATATGAGCTGTATCAGTGGAGTCCATCCCCTATCTCCTCCCAAACAACATCTGGTTTAGAGGTACATCCCCTATCTTCCCCTAAACCGTGGAGTACATCCCCTATCTCCTCCCACACACACAACATATATACACAAAGGTCATGTACGTAATCAATCAATACATAACATTAATGTATTCTATCAACCGTCATACTCTATGACATATCCAATTGATTAGTTTTAGTTTGCCTAATCATCATGCATGTCTACAATGTTGGGTATTTTGTATTATTCTGAGGGCGTTACAAGATTGGTGTCATCTAACCTTGCAGTACACTCAAGGCATTGTCATCTAAATTCTCTCAAGTCCCTTTACATTTTAATAGGTTTTGAACAGATAGGGAGTTTGGCACTAAATCAAATGTTTGGTTGTGTTTTTATTTGTTTGGAAGTACAGAAAAATTGTTTGGTGAAATGTTTCCAATTTGTTTAAAAAAAATAAAAATATAAAGTCACTGTTTTAAAAATTACCAAAAGTTTTTCAATTTTCGAAAAAGTATTTCTACAAAGAAAATAATAATAGTGAGTTTTTTTTTAACTTTGATTATTTTTTATTTTTGGACAACATGAAAAACAAAAAAAGAAAACCAAAATACAACCAAACCCACCCTGAGTGTGTTATCAAATCTGATGAATAGGAAAGATTAGAAAAAAAAATGAAATCTACTTGTTCTTTAATAGTAGAAAAAGCTATACTGTGCTTTGGGAAACAATTCTTTAAATATTGAAGGTCAAGATTATAGAGTAGTAGGACCCTTGACCACATTATATGCTAAAAGCTTTTGAAAGTTGGATACTTCCAAAAGTTATTAATTTGCTAGGAGAGTAGAGAAAAGTAGAATAAACTTATGTACGAGGTGCTTTAAATGAAAGCTCTTTTAAACTTGAAAATCTCATTTATATCTTTGAGACCTTTGTATTTGCCTTCTTTGCTACTTTTCTAGATTAACTGTTTACTTTAGTGGAAGCTTCTTTTTTTTTTTTTTTTTTTTTTTTTTTTTTTTTGCAATTGAGTCCCCGCTACGCCATGAGTCCACTCTATGTCCTTCTAACACCTGGAAATGGTAAACAACTAAGTCAGCTGATAGCTCTGTGAGTAGCAACATGGATAGTATATACAGTTATGAAAACAGGGGTCAATTCCAAAATAAGACATATATCACAGAAACTAGATTGGCATACAGTTTGGTAAAGAGAATCTGTTTCAAAAGGAAGGTTGTACAGTTCAATAGTTAAAATATTCATGTCTCTCAAGAACATGATAAATGACATTTTTTACTTAAAACAGATTACAACATGAACACTTTGCTTGGTTGTGTTTTTTCAAAAACACTTTTCAGAAAATTCTACTTTCTTATTTTCCGTGTTTTTTTATTTTTACTGAATTTTTTAAATATTTTAAGAAATTCTTTTTACTTTTTAGACATACCTAACATAAATATACCTAAAAAGTAAAAAAATTGTGAAAAAAAACCTTTTAAAAATTCACTAAATACCAAAAATACAAAAAAAAAAATACGAGAATTCAGTACATTTTTTGTATTTTTATGTATTTATTAAATTTTT